AACTAGAGGAACCCGCGCAGAACACTCATGAAATAGCCTTCCCTCCAAATGCTCGCATCACCGGCTTTGGCAAGCCAGCGTACGGTCTTACATTGAATTTGTATCTGAATCTGTTTTGCTGGAGAACTAACATCTCTTTAACACGGGATTACTACAGAAAGATAAATCACCAGGTGTCTGCAGACTGTCGCGTCTAAAAAACATCGTCATGCTTAGTAGAAGCTACTGTTGTGCGAGCCTCGGTTTTGCTGCCTAACACTTCGCTTATATATGGTATGCAGAGTAGACATGTGAAAGTAATCGGAATACCTGGCAGACCGTTCCCGTGGATTTCAAGTATTTTATGAAAACCTCTTGCGTGTAATCGTCCGCCCATCAAGACTTCTTATGGCTTCGTTTTTGAATCGCCTCTGCTCTGCCAAAATGGACCGAAACTTCATTACATATTCCGACCTGTTCATTACAACGACGCCAGTTGCTTTATTCAACTCTAGCTATCCAGCCTTTCTCTCTCGAAGCTAGTCTAATTTATGTAGGCGGCCCTTAGTCAGTGGTCCCCATATTGCAAATATGAGTCAAAATGGAAGTTCCAGGAGGTAATAGGGAAGAAGCAAATAGGACCGCTGTAATCCGCATTTCGTTTCAGATCCAGCAACAGGGACAATTTAGAAATGGGTAATTCACAGAAAGGGAGTTGCGGTATGTATGAGATCCCAACGCTACGCTACTGCATACCTATGACAATAATCGACTCCACCCTATCAAGGACAAATGCCCGCTTGTGCGCTAATAACTCGATGGCGTACGTGCGGCTTGTGACTTAATTGTGCGACCACCGATTTCGAGGAAGTCCACTATATGCACCAACAGTTTATCACAGTAATGGAAACTGGCTGCAGGGGATGGCTTGAAACTAATAGCAGACGTATTAAGAGCCAACCGCACTCTTCGCCTTCACCATGGCTTATGGGTTAAATAAAGTATTATTGAATAATAGCAAAAGTCCTACTATGCCTTTATGTCGTAAAATTTGGCGTCTGTGCACTATATATAGGTGAACTACGGTATCTAGCTCCATCTTAGACTTTACAGAACGCCTAAAAATAGTCCCTCGATCCTAGCAGGTAGTGGTAATCTGGACGTAAGCTATTCCGAAGCACATCAAAGCTTTCGCTGGTTACCGCCCTGTCTACTCTATCCACGAGACTGTCTTTATATTGGTTGATGAAATATTATTTAGTAGGAGCTGAAGTTCTACGTTGCCTCACGCCGCATGGGGCTTATTGGCCCTTCGCGGTATAAAACACTATCTTGATGTTTTAGGGGATGCTTTCTGTCAAAAGGAGAGCGATCTGCTCCATAATCGCCTAATATTTATATATCCTATAACTTTGACAGTAGCTTGTGATCTCCTGAACTGTCATCACCCACGCCGGAGTTGGGCGTTATGATTGATTATTCGGACAGCTGGATCCCTAGTGCTTGCGCTAGAAGATCCGTTCATCTGTGCTCTCTCTGGGGGGGGGGGCAAGTGGCTTTAGCCAAGCTTAGCACGATTTTATGATCTGCCGAAAGTTCGCAAAGAAAACATACCACTTAGGTCAATCGGCTGCCTTCCTACCACCCCTACATACGGTTCGGCAAACAGGATGTATACTCATCTGAAATTCCTGGCAGTAGGCTCGATAACAACCGCAGCTTCTGCCGAACAGTTCCTTGAACGAATAACACATCTTACGTTGGAGCCAGATGAATCCATGGCATCGTTCGATGTTGTTTCACTCTTCACCTCTATCCCACAGAAACTAGCGATTCTAAACATACGCTACTACGAGAGCGATAAACCCCCAGATGTGTGAGCATATGTTCGAAATGCAACGACATTGCCTTAAAATCTGCTTCACACTTGGTGGGCAAATGTATGGAGGCACCCAACTGGGCTCCTCAATGCCGATGACCATTTTGTCATTATCAGAACATCCGACATCGAGCACCTCAAAGATGTACTGCACTTAGTTGATCCAATTATCCAATTTACGATGGAATTTGAAAGATACAACTAACTGCCCTTCCTCGATATCCTTGTGCGCCGGTGTTAAACAGGGCTACTGCAAATGACACAAAATGAGAAAGGCTTATGACATGAATCAAGTGGTACATGTCAACATCAATTACTCCATGTGTCACATACGTAGTTCCGTTCATATTCTTTTCCAAAGAGTTGAAATAAATTGCAGCACACCCGCTGACATAAGAATTGAACAACAATATCTTTATTAACTCTTCCGAGCCAATGGACACCCGATCAAATTTATCAAACGAAGCAATTGCCGAGCGAACAGACGGCTACCAGTGCAACATCAATCCAAAGTCTGCAGGGCCATTACCTACATAAAAGGAACCTCCGAAGCAGTCTCACGACTGTTACAACTCACTGGAGTAGGCATAGTCCATCAACCTCAGGTGACTATACACCACCATTTGACACAACCTAAAGACAGGCTCCCCTACAACCGAAACTTTTGCAGTTGTGTACACAATACGTTGCGATAATGGAGACTGTAATTACATAGGAGAAACACGCCGAAAATTGCAGACCTGCCAAAACGAACATAAACTGGCGGCTCGGAGACTAGATCCAAACTCACAGCTTGCAGCACACATTGGAGAGACAAACTACGACTTCGATATTGAAGGGGCAACCATCATAGGCCGAGGAAATTAAAAACCGAAAGGCTGACGCTTGACGCGTGGCACTCAGATGTCAACTCCATCAACAGGCATCTAAACCTCCCTGCGGTCTGCAAAACCATACGCAATTATATAAGAACGGACAGAATAGAGGACCCCAGGATGTACCGGCCAGAAGAGGAGGCAGGATCACCGGCACCCTCTACCGTAGTGTCAAGGCATAACATTACTTGCTGCTTATGACCCCGAATAGCCTCCGACTTCACTGACAGTTAATGAGTGTATACTTATATAATTGACCTCCTTCCATATTCATCCTTCTTGGTTAACTTTTCTTACCCCCTGACGCTCTCATGACCGCTGACAGTTGATTGGCCTTGCGGTAACTACTGTAGTCGCCGA